GGGGCACCCGCACACCACCGCAATATTGCAGCAAGTCCAGCTCTGTCCTGTCGTGCTGGCCGTCCAACTCCGTAGGGAGCAGAACGAGCTCCTCCAGTTACCTGGTCCCTGGCCTCGACGACGGAGACGCCATCGCGCCCGAGAGGTCACCGCTAGGCGGGGCAGATGAGTCCAAACCCAAAGACCTGTCCGAATCCAGCTGGATAGAAACCCCGTCCTCAATTAAGTCGATCGATTCGAGCGATTCTGGGATTTTTGAGCAAGCCAAGCGGAGGAGGATTTCGCCATCTGCCACGCCGGTTTCAGAGACATCGTCTCCATTAAAATCTGAAATGTTGACGCCGAGGGAATGCGAGAAAAACTGCTCCAAGGACATCGGCTACTACAGCTTTTACCCCCACAGTTAGAAACTCGGAACAACTAATGCATGGCTCGTGTGTTCATAAGGATTCACAAGTGACTTACAATCTATTTAAAATGTGCTTATTTATTGGTTTATTTATTTATTCATATATCCGGCCGATCTCGGTCGCCTCGTTCCAATGACGTCATCAAACGCGTCGCGTTTTTAACGGAAAAAACTTTGACACGAAAGCTTGAGATGTTTTCGTTTCCAAATGACATTTTAAGGTTCTAACTGTCAAACCTATTGTAAGTATGAAAGTAACTGTACATAACTGCATTTATCTATCCATTTGTGATTTTTCTCGTTGAACGTTGATGTACAATATAGAAAACCGGATTAGGTTTAGCCGATATGTTTAATGTACTTAGAACTGTTCATTCCTTCGAATAGCTACATATATTAAATATTTTGATGTTTGAAAAAATAAGAATACAACTTATGTAGGTTCCCGGTTATGACAGAAAGATGGATCTGACTGAATTGGAAGTAGCTGCTTACCAGTTGAAGAGCCCGCCAAAAAGAGTTCCTCTGACAGGAAATAAATATGGCGGACACGTGTCTTTCAGAGGTCGTTTTTTTTTATGTGAGCTTATATTGATGTTGCCTGTCCGTAAATATCATAGTTCGTAGTTTCATTTTGTGAATGTTGTTGTAAAGTTTTCAGAACGTATGTTTTTAACTGCACCAGCGTAAATCCCATTACCTTTTTTGTAGTCAAACATAGACTATCACTTCACGTATTACAATTACTAACCCAGACATTTTCATTTGTATTTCATGGGCTGTTTTCTCATGAGAAAATACGCGAGTTAGGCCTGCTAATGTGAAAAGGTAATGTAATTGTGGTGTGCTTAATTGCAATAAATATGACAGAATGTGAAACCCGGGTGAAGTACACAGGATTCCAACTAAGCTGATTTCAAAACCAAATATTTCTGTTCTATTTTCCTCAATCTGTCTTAGAGCAGTATATATAACGATAATGCCAGTCACAATGTGAATTTTGTTGCCTGTGCGATGCATTTTCATAATAAAATGTAGTCATGCAATGCGACAAATAAGCAAATCGCCCATGAACAACCTTTTTGGCAGTTTTCTATTGGTTTCTTGTTTAATTCGACTGTCATTTTAGATGGGGAAAGGCTACTATTACAGTAGTCCCAAAGGTAAACAAATCAGATGCTTAAAGTATCAATTTCACTGCATTTAACAAAATATCAAACCAAGTGGCATCCATACCCGAAAAATGATTTCAGATTATAGCCTAAGAGATTCAAGATGGTAGCCTAGTATTTGGACACTTTCTGATTGTTAGATCAGATGTTAGTGGTCAACTACACCTATGGTTATACTCTCAAGGATATCAGGGCCAGAAATTAACCAGTTCTCATGAAATTAGGATTTCTCATGGATTTGTATATATTTTTTAAATGGGGGTTGTAAATATAGACACTGTAGGCCTATAGACTTTTTCAGTTAACTGATTCATTTGAAGTATTTGATTTAAATGGACAACACACCCTCATTAAGCTATAAACTGACCCTAAAAATGAATGTTGACATCCATGATCAACCTTGGCACCACTTAGGTAAAAATTCATTGCAAAAAAAGGCCCAGGAAATTGAAGTTAGTTCAGTTGATGTTGATAGTTATTTTGATATTTTATATAATGCAATTTATATTCAGATGTTTTTAATTGCGACTTGCATCCAAATATACCTTTTGGGGCTACTGTAGTATGTGTTGCACAAAATCTAAGACATGACAACATTAACAGATAATAATAGTCTTATATCATACAAATCTTTAATCCGTTTCGGCTCATTTACCTCCATATAAATATGCATATCTATGAATGTGAATAAGCACTCGACTATTGCCAAAAGCAGACTTTGTACACTATTCTGTAACATACATTTCAGAGCATTTTACAATATCAACTTAGATTAAGATCTATCAAATGTCCATGTTATAAAACACTACACCATTGGTTCTTAATCCTGGTCCTCAATAGCCCGGTATACTGCACATTTATTTATTTACATGTGAATAAATCATCAACTGCCTATACAAGACCTGGACTGAATGGTCCAGAAAAGGGAGACGGACAAAATGTACTGTACTCGGGTATTAGATATCTCCTTTATTTCATTTAATACAGGCTACTTCATTCAAATAATCAGCTCGATTATTGTCAGAGACAAGGGAGTATGCAAAACGTGCAGTGTTGTGGGCTGATCCTAACGAATCATTTGACTGAATTCAGAATAGCATATCAATTTCATACTACTCTTACTTTTCCCCTTCCTTACAAAAACAGAAACACAGGATTGTTTTATCCTATTCTGAATTCAGATATCCTGTATGCTTTTTGATAGTTTGCTGCCTCCCTGTGGTTCAGTGAAAGGCTGCCTAGTAAATAAAGCAACCTTTTAAATGAGTTATCTTAGAGTTCCAATATTGTGAGATTAACGTAATATTCATTATTTGTTTAAAAAATCTGATGTCCGGGGAGAAAGCCAGTATATTTTAATACTAATCAATTCAATCGCTGTAAACCCTTAAACCTGTATCACACAACTGCGAACACCAGATGGCGACAACCTCGTAAAGATGAAACAAGACACTTGCATTGTTATTTTACATATAGTATATCATTATATTTTAGCGTGATGTGATTAAACATTATGGTGCGATATAATTATAGGCTATACATTTATAGGGTATACAATACATTATTATTAAATTCAAGAATATTAGAAAAATAGGTGGAAAAGCAGCCCAAAAAGCATTGGGATAATCCATAATATATACACACATTGTATTACATTAGATTAATTTAAAAGAAAGATAGCACAAGACAAATGATGAAGAAACGTGGTGACGCCTGTGCAGCATTTAAGTACATGATACTTGCTTTGAAAAGAATGGAGTAAAAATAGAATATAAAAGTTTAACTTAAATGTAAAAAGCAGCTTAAACATGGTCCAGGAAGTTTTTATTCTTATAATATCAGCTTAAATAAGTTCACCCGGAGTGCAGGCCTGGTACAGATGGCAGGTTTAAAAGGGTAGCTGGACCTTTTTGGCTCTTAATATACAGTAAAACCACTGCACTGATCATCACTTTAAGACTGTTTCTGAGAAAATCAGAATGAGTCACTGTAACGAAGAAAGCATTAGGTGCATTAGCCACATAAATGTAATAATATGACAGAACTTGTTATTATATATATACATACATGCATAGGAGAGATATGGGCTAGTTTACTCTGAGACACTTTCAGACACAAACCTATATCAAGAAAGATTATTTTCACCATTACAGGAAAATGGGATCTATGGGATTTTGCCATTAAATAGGCAACTAAATGTTGACCTTGTTGACCTTTGCATGAATATCACATGTAAATCTCACAAGACATTTCTCAGAACAAGGGTTAGCCACCCACCAAAATAAAAACAAACTAGATGCAAACCAAATATTCTAATGAAAACTGTCATCATTTGCCAAACCTGTATTACTTTCTTTCCTCTGTGAAACACGAAAAATATTCAAAAACTTTCAAATGGACAACAACACAGGCATTTTTACAAAATATCATCTTTTGTGTTCCACAGTTGAAAAAAGTGAGCAAATGATTGATGACAAAATAATAATAATAATAAAACCTTTATTTAACCAGGTGAGCACATTGAGAACACTTTCTCATTTACAATGGCGACCTGGCCAAAAAAGCGTTGAGGTACAAAAACATAAGTTATACACATATAATTACAAGACAAAGTAGTACTCAATAAACATAGAAGATTAATAAACAGATCCGTAGATGCAGGTACACAGATCGGGTTAGCATGTACAATGGTCCGACAGTAAATTTGCTAACAATAATTTAAAAGTGATTAATGGGACATTGGATTCAAGCTTCAAAGATTTTTAGTTTTAGATGTTTAGTTAAAATGTTTAGTTTTGGGTGAACTAGCCAACAAAGTGTTCAAATATGCATTTGTGTAACTGGACTTTTAAGACAAAAACCTCCTGCCCATTCCAGACAAATGTGACCAAAGTCAAGTCACCTTTAATTAAACAGTGCTTTATGCAATACACATCGTTTCAAAGCAGCTTTACAGTGATAACAGGAAAATGATGCATTTGGGCTGTAGTTCAGCTAAAGTCAGTTCAGTGTTGATTCAGTTCCGATTATTCAATTAGTTCATTTCATCTCAAAAATGATGTCAGTTCAGTTCTCATACAGTAGTAGGCCTACAGTCAGATCAATAATAGGCTACTATTGAATATTAAATGTCCCCAAGCCAGAGGCGACAGACAGTGGCAAACCAAACTCCACCAGGTGACTCGTCCTGTGGTCTCCCACACTTTCCCTAGTTATTTGTTCAAAACGTCAGTAATGTGTGTTATCAGGCCCTGCAGTGAGGCACTTTAACATAATGCCCCCTCCCCTGTGGAGTTAAAGTCCTACTACCCACAACTGCGTCACACAGCAGCTACATGCGCCCTTATGAGTGAGTGAGCTCGTGATAACAGCACTGCACTAAACATGTGAGCAGAGCACATCATCTGCCGCCACACACAGTACGCACTACACACTACACACACGCACTAGCTCTGTTCCACAGGTACAGAAGATGGACGTGAAGGATCAAGGCGCACAAATGGAGCCTCTGCTGCCCGTGGTAAGACCAGCGAATCTGTCACTGATCGTATGTTCTGATTGAGTGGATGTGTGCGAGAGCTTGACATTGCGTGTGTTGCGGGTTTTGCGCATCTGCAGTGTAAAGGCGTCACGCGTGTTTCACTGCATCGCATGTTGCAGATCAGGACGGGGTTTTATTAACGCGCGAGGGTCTGTTCGCCACAGGTTCGCATCGATTATATTAACATGAATGTGTATTTTTATTCAAGACGTCTGGACAGGATGATGATCTTGATAAGAAAGTTGATTTGAATACCACGAGTGAATTTGAGCAAACTCGCATATGGGGGAAAAAAATATATAGGCTAACATCTGCAGAATGACATAATATTGCTATAAAGATTAAGCCTAAGTGCATTTTTTTTTCTCATGACGTTTAAGAATACTTTAATACTTGAAAAATGAATTAGCCTTATATTTAAAGTATCTATAGCCTACATCACACACATTTGTTAATTTTAATCATTTTATTACACTCGGTTATTGCAGTAACTTTGTCATCCAGTAGAACTTTCTGTAATGAAAATCTATTAAATCATCATAATGCCATACAATTTTTAATGGTCCTAAAATAGGATTAATTATCCAAAATATCATTTCTTTATTCAGTAATACGTTATTTTTTAACGTCCTTGTTGCATCATGTAATACCTATAAATTATGCATATTTACATGCAACTAACCCTAAAACAAACCTAACCCTATAGTTAATTATTATTACTCAGTACTTAAATGTAGCCTATATTTACACTGTAACACGGACATAAAGAGTAACCCTTGATTCTTTCTTTCTTTTTGGGGTCATATAAGTCAAGTCACCTTTATTTCTACTACGCTTTATACCATACAGCTTGTTTCAAAGCAGCTTTACACCACAAACAGCATCAATGCTGTACAAATCAAATATGAGACAAATTCAAACTCTGCTCTAAAGCTCTAAACAGACAATAGTGTAATTATTCAGCTCAGTGTTGATTCAGTTCAGTTCAATAACTGTAAAACTATCATGAAACAAGTTCAATTCTGCTGTAAAGCAGCTCTACAGAAGACAATAGTGTCATTATGTTGATTCAGTTTAGTTCAATAACTGTGTAAAGTTCATCAATGACAGCGCTATAAGCAGCTAGTGTCTTTATTTAGCTCGTTTCATGTCTTCTCAGTATAGATTGCAGTAGATGATAGTCTGTGTTTAATCCAGGATCTAATGATTTCATCAGAGAGCCGTTTCGACAGCTGTCAGCGGCATTTTAATTCACAAATCAGATGAGAGCCACTGTGACCGAAGATTATCTGTGACTCTGGAGCAATAGATCAGGCAGTGAGGGATCACGTGATCTATAGGGTTTCAATGACCATTCAGTTACATATAAAATATAGGATAAAAACAGCTCAAGGGCAGTGACGTCATAAAGGCATTTCATTTAACAGATGCTTTGTAATGATTCTCAACTGGTTTTGCTTCAGGACTCAGTTGGACATCTAGTGGTGACCCAAAATGTTCTTAAGATCAGACATGAATATTAATATTCATTTAAAGGGATAGTTCACCCAAAATGTACTTACTCACCCCCAAGTTGTTCCAAACCTGTATGAGTTTCTTACTTCTGTCGAAGACAAAAGATGATATTTTAAATAATGTTGGTAATCAAACAGTTGACGGACGGTAAACACTGACTTCCATAGTAGGGGAAAAATACTATGGAAGTCAATGGCTACCGTCAACTGTCTGGTTACCAGCAGTCTTTAAAATATCATCTTTTGTGTTCAACAGAAGTTAGAAACTCATACAGGTTTGGAACAAAAGTAATAACACTTTTTATTTTTGGGTGAACTATCCCTTTAAAATAGAGACCTGATCTAGATTGTAAGGCAAGGCAAGTTTATTTATATAGCACATTTCATACACTATGGCAATTCAAAGTGCTTTACATAGAAATGAATAAAAATAATCACAAAATAAAAGCAAGGAAAATGAAAACAGTTATTCGAAATGCTTTACATAGAAAGGAATTAAAATAATCACACTATGGCTATTCAAAGTGCTTTGCATAGAAAATAAGCAAAGCAAGGGAAATTAAAACAGTTATAAAAGGAATTAGAGTAAAATGAATTAAAGTAGTAAAAAGATGATACATAGAATAAACTTCGCATCTGGCAAAACACCGGTGAATCATATTTTGAGTGGTTTATGTTTCTTTCTTACCCAATTCTCAGTGCTATTTGAGTTCAGTTTAGAATCAAAAGGAAGAATACAGTGCATTCAGTCGGACGTACAGTGGATAGAGTTATAAAAAGAATTAAAAGAGATAAACTGGCTGGTGCATCTTATCAAATTTCAGTAAGATCACCACTTCTCAGGTGTAAATGGGGCAGATGTGCATATTTAAATGTAGGACATCAAACATGATTCCTCTCTAGTTTGTGGGTTGACAAACGCTGCACGCTTCACATTAACAGGCCAGGTCTTCGCTCATGAAGCTGTGCTGGAGCTCTGAAGTCTCAGACAGGCCTAGTCTGACCGAGCGTGGAGCTCATTTGCACTTGTCCAGCTGCAGTGGACTCTATTTTTGTTTGACATGATGAATGGCAGTCCAAGCTTGGCGGTGGTTCATATCTAGAAGGGGTTGGCGACTGAGTGTGCCTAATAAGTTTATGACGAAGATATATTTCAGGAAATATCATTTAAAGGGCTTCAATTACATAATGCAATGCAAATGTGATAAAAATCAGACCATTAACTTGTCTGGAGAGTGCAAGAATACACAGAAATGTGTGTATCAAAACTCTTCAAAGGCCTCTAAATGATCAATATGATCATAGCTTTGCTGAAAAACCTGATTGATATTTATGCTTTTTAGCAAGTAAAAGGCTTTTTGGTAATTGTAAAATCTTCCATCTTCAGTTTGTGGTTCACGTGTTTTTGCGTTGTGAAATCTTTGATGATTTTTATAAAGTAAACAGAAGAATAACTTTAGATTTCAGTAATATTTCAAGATGACTGGACTGAAGCAGCTTAGGTTTATTTGATTATCCAAACATCTTTTTTTTTTTGGAAAATCATGTTAAAATGTGATTTTTGAGGAAGGTTTATTTGTTCATCTCTCAATCATTGTTGTATTGCATTGCATTGTATGTTTTAAAATGACTTCGCATTGATCATAAAAAAAGCATTTACAAATCATCTTACTAAGATTATGCACTCTAAACAATGCTGGGTTGTTTCAACCCAAATTTGGGTCAAATATGGACAAACCCAAATGTTGGGTTAAAAATGTAATTTAAAATTTTAACCCAACTTCAACTTTCACTTTCAACTGTAAATTTTTTAATTACATTTTTAACCCAACATTTGGGTTTGCCCATATTTGACCCAAATTTGGGTTGAAACAACCCAGCATTTTTTAGACTGTGATATGGATTGTGACCGCTGAAATTTATGTGCATTTTGCTTTACTGTTATAAAGATCTTATAGATTTACATTACATGCTATAGGAATTTCATCTCACTTTTTAGCCAGGTAAATTTCAGCTTCTGCACTAAATATTATATTTTTTGCTCAGTTTGGGCCTCTGAATAAAATTTAGGTGTTTTTTCTTTTTGAGTATGAGCTCCATATTCTCACTATACCATACTGAATGAGACATAAAAGCCTCAGCAAAAACTCATATGCAAACTTTTTATTTTTTTAGATTTCATCCAAAGGTACAGTAAATGGATGCATTTAAAAAAAAAATCTTTTTTTCTTCTTCTGGCTATTACTTCATATGCCAGGCTTTACAGGGTCAATGCTAGTATACTATTATATATTGCAAAAAAAATTGGATTCAAAGTCCCTTTTAGACCAAACCCTGAGCTGCTGAGTGTATTTGTGTGTGCTGGAGACTTGTACATGCTGTACAAGTAAAATGTAGAAAGTGTATGTTTAATCATTCATGCAAGCAACTCTAATCACGTTGGAACAAATCACATTATTCATCCAGTGTTGGCAGAAAAGGAGCTTTTGAATGACCCTTAAAACAGTTCTGAGCAGGTTAGTGGTTTAAAGCACTTTAGCACATGTTTAATTAGGGATATCTGAGGTATCAGAGCTGTTTGTTGGATGCTTTGTCACCTCATTCTCAGCACATATGATTTAAGGGTCAGTGATGTGATGCTCTTTCTGTCTAGAGCTATTTCTATCATGACAACTCTCTGAGTGTTTGGCATGGTGGTGGATATGACAAGGTTGATAGAATAGATCTGCTACGCTGTTGCTAGTACACATACTAGTTAATTTTAGTCTGGGACTAGACTTAAGCTTTGTGTGTGAAATTGGGGAATAGTTGCATTTATCAAATTACTAGTACACCATCTTTAACTAGCACATCTCTTAATGTTAGATTTCATGTTTCAGTATAGATTGCAGTAGATGATAGTCTGTGTTTAATCCAGGATCTAATGATTTCATCAGAGAGCCGTTTCGACAGCTGTCAGCGGCATTTTAATTCACAAATCAGATGAGAGCCACTGTGACTGAAGATTATCTGTGACTCTGGAGCAATAGATCAGGCAGTGAGGGATCACGTGATCTATAGGGTTTCAATGACCATTCAGTTACATATAAAATATCGGATAAAAACAGCTCAAGGGCAGTGACGTCATAAAGGCATTTAACAGATGCTTTGTAATGATTCTCAACTGGTTTTGCTTCAGGACTCAGTTGGACATCTAGTGGTGACCCAAAATGTTCTTAAAGTCCCCCTGTAGTCAATAATTTTATCTCTAAAAACTCATCTTTTATCACCAAAATGACATATTTAAGCATTTTTTCTTTGAAAAAAAATTCTTCATGCATTAAAATAGTTTGAATGTAACTCGACACCCTTGCCTCATTTAGTATACGCAGTTCTATGAATATGCAAATGAGCCCCGCCTCCACTCACTCACTCAGCTCAGAGATCCACTTGTTGACGATCACACGTTGATTTGATTGGTTACAAGGTAGTTTGTGACGTCAGAAACACCCAGTGTTTTTGAAACATACCCTGCGTCTCAATGTTCATATCCATCCTAAACAGAATGTGTGATTCAAATAAGTGTGTCCCAAAGCATAGTATGTTGACAAGAGTATGTAAAAAGTCCCCGGATGGTCTACTATTTCCGTTGGATTTGCGAATTGTGGATCGGTATGGAAGCTTGTTTCCGCCACTGAATAAAAAAAAATAAAAATAATAATTGCGACTTTTTATCTCACAATTGCGAGATATGAAGTCGCAATTCTGAGAAATAATCGCAATTGCGAGATATAAAGTCGCAATTCTGAGAAATAGTCGCAATTGCGAGATATAAAGTCGCAATTGCGAGACATAAAGTCGCAATTCTGAGAAATAAAGTCGGAATTGCGAGATATAAAGTCGCAATTATGAGAAATAAAGTCGCAATTGCGAGAAAAAAGACAGAATTGCGACTTTTTATCTCACAATTCTGACTTTTTTTCTCACAATTGCGAGTTTACATCTCGCAATTCTGACTTTATAACACATAATTGCGACTTTATAACACGCAATTGCGACTTTATTTCGCGCAATTCTGACTTTATAACACGCAATTGCGACTTTATATCCATCAATTCTGACTTTATATCTTGCAATTCTGACTTTATATCACGCAATTGTGACTTTATATCTCACAATTCTGACTTTATATCACGCAATTTCGACTTTATATCACGCAATTCTGACTTTATATCTTGCAATTCTGACTTTATAACACGCAATTGCGACTTTATTTCGCGCAATTCTGACTTTATAACACGCAATTGCGACTTTATATCCATCAATTCTGACTTTATATCTTGCAATTCTGACTTTATAACACGCAATTGCGACTTTATTTCGCGCAATTCTGACTTTACAACACGCAATTGCGACTTTATATCACGCAATTCTGACTTTATATCTCGCAATTCTGAGAAATAAAGTCAGAATTGCAAGATGTAAACTCGCAATTGTGAGAAAAAAAAGTCAGAATTGTGAGATAAAAAGTCGCAATTGCCTTTTTTATTTTTCATTCCGGAAAAATTATTTTCCATGGCGGAAACAAGCTTCCATAGATCGGTGCTCACTATAACGGCTAAAATTGCCCACAACCCATTGTGATTTGGAGGAGGAACTACAAACACAAGTAAAAAGTGTTAAAAAAAACTACAAAACATGGTGGAAATGCGCGACCGGCGGTGAGAGGTTTAGATAAAGGGGTTTGAGTGACTAATCAAAGTTTAACCTGATAAAAAATATATTCATTTAATGTCACCCGTGTTATATTTCATCTGCAATAACAATGTGGACTTGAATAAAGATCCTTTTGGCCATTATCTTTTAAATGCATCATTATGCATTAATAAAATGAGAGTTCTCCGCATGAAAGACCCGCGACTGCAGATCAACGAGCTGCTACATTTCTCTCCGATACGGTAGGAAATTAAATAAAACGTGGAGTATTTTAACTGTGATAAGATGATTGGCAGGATGCGACAGAGAGCAACCGTTAAAGACGCAATTGTATGACGTGATACTAGTATGTCCCAAAGCTTGTGTTTGCTACACACTCAAAAGTATCTACCTTTTCTTCACAAAAAGAGTACTTACTTTTAGGGCGTAGTATAAGTAGGCGAATTGAGATGCAGACTGTCTTTGGTTCACTGCAGTTTTAAGGAGAAAATACTCAGCAATGGTGTTGACTAATGAATTTACACATGGTTTGCCTTAAAGCATATTAAAAACACCACATAGATATATAAACAACATTAAAAGAGTTTATATATATATATATATATATATATATATATATATATTTTTTTTTTTTGTGGAGCTTCAACAAAGGTTTTAGGTGGTGTAATGGTCCAGAGATTATATTAAAGAAAAAAAGGTCTCACTAAAAGACTGGAATTCTGTTAAGTAGTTTGGTGTAATTATTTATTTTTTGGGAAAATAGCAGTAACATTTTTTATATAATTTATAATTTTAGTATTATTAAAACTTTTGTCTGCTAAATCGAAGTTAGTGGTGTAACCACTATGCAGGGTCACATTTTGGAGTCATGATGTGACCCCCCCCCCCCAATAAAACAGGAAATGACATAATAAAAAGGACCCCTGAAGACTCTCATAATTGTGTGTTAAGGTCAGCGACTTTCTTTAAAATACCATATATTTTGACCTTTTTCTGTCGTGGCAAGGTTAGTTCCAATAATACGTTAAGAGTAATGATATTCATGATTTAAAAATATCATGAATATCAAAAAATATTTGTAAATATTTGTAAAAAAAAAAAAAGAAAAAAAAAAAAACTTTTGATAAAGATGTGTAGATCTATTTAAGGTGTAAGGAAATATTTTATCATAAAATGGTTACGCTAAATATTTGACGCTTGCATTTTGAAGTAGACATGTCTAAACTCAGCACACATGATGTTGTCTGGTATCACAGGACAATATAATGATGGCTTTTTCAAAGCTCTCTGCTAAGACAAAGCTAAGCTTTATTATTCAGATTACACTGAAAAACATTTTCCGCTCAGCGTGAGTCAAAGCTGCTTATTATTGCTTAATGGAAAATAAACAGTGAGCTGTACAGAGACATACATCTGTTGATGGCGATCGTCACGCTGAACCAGGTAAATGTGCTTTCAAGACAGTGATGGATGAGAGCCAATTATGTGTATTGTTTGGACTAATCTGTCTAGAGCTTGTAATCTCAGGGAATGTACTGATAGTATAGTAGAACAAAAATATGCTCCCTCTGTTTTTGGATAATCCACTAGAGATGCTCATGTAATGGCCTTTAGCAGAGATTAAGCATGTACGGCAGGCTTCTGAGATTGTTTTAAAACTAATTGGTGCTCTTTGGATATCCAGGATTATTGTGTTTGAGAGGCAAGATGTCCTGGTACCTCCTCTGGTAAAAAAAAAAATCCTCCCTTTTCGGGTGTAAAATTAGACCCAGAAGAAATCCGCTCATGCCGTCTAAAACAGCAGGTGTGTGTGCAGCTGTAGCGGCTGTAAAGGTACAACAGTAGGTCAGGTGTGTTTACATGCACTTATTTCCATCAGTCGGAAGGATTTCAGAGTCATTGTGTTTAATGATTCACATGATCGTTTATTTTTGTGTTACATGTATTCTGGACAAAACTGCCTTGCCGACATGTATAAAAAGAAAGCTGATATTTGTGTCAGAAAAGGTTTTTTAAGCAAATATTTTGCTAAAACCACTGACCAGTTCATTAGACATAAGAGCTAAATATTAATCAAAAGCATGCTTTATGACGCAAACATATACGCATCATGGCACTGTGAATGTGCACAAGGTATTTTTGAATCTCATTGAGAAGATAGTCAGATTCAAGTATTTACATCATGCTACATTTTTTCTGTTGATCGGATTATTTCAGGTCTACACAATCCGATCGAAATTTCAATCAGATCGAGCTCAGTCGGATCGATCGAGGTGTTTAAATGAAGGTCTAATTTAGCCATCAATCCAACTATTTCAGTGCATGGAAATTTAGTTTGTGTGTGTCTTCAGGGATTGCTTTCAGTACCCAGTTATCATAACAGACTGTTCTCATGAAATGGCGTAGGCCTATGTATGACACGCCAATTCGTATTTCCATTTTTGGCGTGCTATCAACACGCATAATCGCTTTTCAGCGTGTTTATCAACGCCTTTGACTTAACGTTACATTACTGTAGCCTATATATAAATATATGACCTACCCCAACCCCGTCCCTAAACCTACCCGTCACTGGGGTTAATACCATTTATGAGTCTTCCCCTACCATCCTAGGAAAAAAAAATATTGCTCCACAGATGTAGATATGAATTTTGCTTCGTTTCGCTCGGACATTTAACGGCGTACACATACACGCGGAATCACTCGGACGTTTAACGGCGTACACATACACGCAAAAGATGACGGTTCGTTTCGGCGTGGACATACACGCGGATAGCTCAAAATGCGTATAGATAACACGCCACTTGACTTGAAAGTGGCGTGTATGTTTACGCAAAGTCATGATGTCATGTTGCATATAAATATATGATTCATGTCTGAATGCTCAAACATATGGTGTCAATTTAATATGCTTTTCTTTAGCACAGTTTAGGTGCAATGAAAGCATGCAAGCTGAATTTAATTAAAGTGTGCATCAGTGTGACTTTTGAAATGCTTTTGACAGATGTCAGCAGTGTTCGCCTCTCATTTGCATACCGTTCAGAATTATGCAACTTTTTGACTCTCACCACTTGCTCTGCTGTCAATCCCACAATTCTGAGCCTGTGACTAATGTCCCTTAAAGAATGAACTGAAAACACCAGCTTGACAAGAGCGGTCAGATTCACAATAGTTTTAAGTGTACTGTCACTTAATGTTGGTCAAGAATTGAATGGGTTATATCCCCCCCCCCCCCCCCCCAAAAACCCCTCAGGCTAGCATATTACTGTGTGTTTCATGAAAATAATTAGAGGGGGAAAAATGATGCATAGTAGGAGTATTAATGATGAATGATGATTAATCGAAACAAAACACAATTCGTGAAATGGCTCAGTGTGATTCTCAATCACAAAAGCTGTGATTTAACTGAATGAATATATATGCTGCATGTTTCAGAGATGTTCCCTGTGTTCTTACACTTGAGCAGTGTGTGTGTGTGTGTGTGTGTGTGTACAAACAAGCACAGCAAACCTGAATTTTTAATAAAAATCTAATTTTAAAGACACTGGAAATATCAGGATATATTTATTGCACAAAATATAACATTATGAAGTGGTTTTCTAAATGTGTGTGAATGCTGTGTGCTAATTTATGAAGAATTAGTAATTAGTGCATTTAATCTGTAAATATTTGGGTTTTTTTTGCAGGCGGTCACCTCTCCTAGAAGACAAAGTGTGGTGAGTAGAAATGTTTAATAGACTTTATATTTTCTGATGGTTGATATAATGCCATAATCGTGTCTCACACTGTACTGGATCATACATGGATGGATTGGATTGAATTGACAAAGAAACTGCCAATATATTTTGATTTGATGGTCCTGGAATGCTTTTCTAAATTCTGTCAGCATAAATTATTTGTCAATTCTGGAAAAGACAGATGCATGATTGGGGAGAGAGACTGGCTTATGCATTTAGGCGGCACTGTAGTGTCTATAGATAACACAGATGTTATAAATCGGTCATCTTTCAAAGGACACTGCTCACCACATGCTCATTTTGCTTCTTTTCTGCATGTTTTTACTCAGAAAAGACCTTGAAACGTCAGCAGTGCCACAATGCGTAGTTACAGTAATCTAGCTGCGTATCAGAGATTTAGATCACGTAAACCGCAGCATTAAAGCGAGTTTTCAAATCATTCTCCTCTGATCTTACAATGCAGCATTATTAGATGAGCTGCATTGGCTTTTTTTGGGACGATTTTCATTAAATGAATCATTTATGTATTGTTTTGGGAGATAGCACATTTTAGGAGAGGAAAATCCTGCCGGCAGCAGCAGAAGATCAGTGAAATGCTTCACATGACACTCAAATCGAACCTGAGAGCTTTTGATCTGCTTCTATTTTGTTCTGAATCTGTGTTACACATGCTAACGCCTGCACTAATGTCAGACAGGAGCAGGGAAAGGTGAAGGATTGCTTTTTATGCAGGATAGTATGTCATTTTAAAAATTGTGTTTTCCAGACCTGGGACTATGGAAGCTTGTTTCCGCCACTGAATAAAAAAAAAAAAAAAAAAAAATTGCAACTTTTTATCTCACAATTGCGAGATATGAAGTCAGAATTCTGAGAAATAAAGTCGCAATTATTATCGCGAATTAAAAGTCGCGACTTTTTATCTCACAATTCTGACTTTTTTTCTCACAATTGCGAGTTTACATCTCGCAATTCTGACTTTATAACACATAATTGCGAGTTTATATCTCGAAATTCTGACATCTTTTCTCAGAATTGTGAGATATAAACTCGCAATTGCGAGTTATCAGGCCAATTCTAAGGGGGGAAAAGACTAGCTTTTTTCCCCTCAGAATAGTTGATATCTCACAATTCTGACTTTATAACACGCAATTGCGACTTTATAACACGCAATTTCGACTTTATATCAATCAATTCTGACTTTATATCTCGCAATTCTGACTTTATAACACGCAATTGCGACTTTATTTTCCCGCAATTCTGACTTATAACCTGCAATTGCGACTTTATATCAATCAATTCTGACTTTATATCTCGCAATTCTGACTTTATAACACGCAAATGCGACTTTATTTCACGCAATTCTGACTTATTACCTGCAATTGCGACTTTATATCTATCAATTCTGACTTTATAAACCTCGCAATTCTGACATTATAACACGCAATTGCGACTTTATTTCACGCAATTCTGACTTATAACCTGCAATTGCGACTTTATATCAATCAATTCTGACTTTATATCTCGCAATTCTGACTTTATTACAAACAATTGCGACTTTATTTCACGCAATTTTGACTTTATAACACGCAATTTCGACTTTATATCAATCAATTCTGACTTTATATCTCGCAATTCTGACTTTATATCTCGCAATTCTGACTTTATATCTCGCAATTCTGACTTTATAACACGCAATTTCGACTTTATATCAATCAATTCTGACTTTATATCAATCAATTCTGACTTTATATCTCGCAATTCTGACTTTATATCTCGCAATTCTGACTTTATAACACGCAATTGCGACTATTTCACGCAATTCTGACTTATAACCTGCAATTGCGACTTTATATCAATCAATTCTGACTTTATATCTCGCAATTCTGACTTTATAACACACAATTGCGACATTATTTCACGCAATTCTGACTTATTACCTGCAATTTCGACTTTATATCAATCAATTCTGACTTTATATCTCGCAATTCTGACTTTATAACACACAATTGCGACATTATTTCACGCAATTTTGACTGTATAACACGCAATTTCGACTTTATATCAATCAATTCTGACTTTATATCTCGCAATTCTGACTTTATAACACGCAATTGCGACTTTATTTCACGCAATTTTGACTTTATAACACGCAATTTCGACTTTATATCAATCAATTCTGACTTTATATCAATCAATTCTGACTTTATATCTCGCAATTCTGACTTTATATCTCGCAATTCTGACTTTATATCTCGCAATTCTGACTTTATAACACACAATTGCGACTTTATTTCACGCAATTTTGACTTTATAACACGCAATTTCGACTTTATATCAATCAATTCTGACTTTATATCTCGCAATTCTGACTTTATAACACGCAATTGCGACTTTATTTCACGCAATTCTGACTTATAACCTGCAATTGCGACTTTATATCAATCAATTCTGACTTTATATCTCGCAATTCTGACTTTATAACACGCAATTGCGACTTTATTTCACGCAATTCTGACTTATAATCTGCAATTGCGACTTTATATCAATCAAATCTGACTTTATATCTCGCAATTCTGACTTTATAACACGCAATTGCGACTTTATTTCACGCAATTTTGACTTTATAACACGCAATTTCGACTTTATATCAATCAATTCTGACTTTATAACCTGCAATTCTGAGAAATAAAGTCAGAATTGCGAGATGTAAACTCACAATTGTGAGAAAAAAAGTCAGAATTGTGAGATAAAAAGTCGCAATTACCTTTTTTATTTTTCATTCTGTGGCGGAAACAAGCTTCCATATGGGACAGCCATCGAAATACTGAAATAATTTTGAGTCGATTTGGATAAAAGCATCTGCCAAGTGCATAAAAATTTAAATATTTTCAGTAGTTCTGTTCATAAACCAGGTTCTGTCATCAGCTCCGAACCCATAAGACTAGATATTTTTAATAAAATCTGAGAGGGAAATTTCTGTCCCTTCGATAAACACTTCTTAATCCAAAACTGACGTTTCTCCACATGTTCAAAACCTTCACTTGTGTTCCGAAGATGAACAAAAGTCTTATGGCGACATGAGGGTTAGTAAATGATGACAGAAAACACTTTTGCACACTACTGTAAAAAAAAAAAAAGTATTGTAAAGAAATAATTTTCACGCACGCACACACACACACACACACACACACACACACACACACACACACACACACACACACACACACACACACACACACACACACACACACACACACACACACACACACACACACACACACACACACACACACACACACACACACACACACACACACACACACGCACACACATGCATAACCCTCCCCCTAAACCTACCCATAACACAAAACTTTCAGCATTTTGAAATTTAAAAAAAACTTGATTTACTTTATTTTTACACCAGATTTAGAAATGAGGACGTCCCTATAGAGAGGTTTTTGGAGGTTTTGGTCACTTCTGGGTACAAATTTGTCCGCAAAATATAGTTAAGGAAGTACACACACATATATATTTTTTTCTTTTTGAAGGCTGTTAATATTGTGAAATAGACTCATTTTCTCCTGTCTGTTGTCCGTGACGTCACAGCTCAGGATAGACAGAGAAGGTATCAGTATTTTCATGATGTTGTGTTCCTCTGGCTCCAGATTGATTAGTCATATCTTCGGGCTGAAGTGATTGGCTCAACTAGTTGTCCACACGCCAGCCGAGACCTGCCACTGAGGAGAATGGAAATGCTAACAGATAGTTTTCTCCTGGTCTGTTAGACCTCCTTGGTGAGAACCGTGAGTGTAAAGCAAGAGAGAGAGAGAACAAGGTCAGGCTTCTTCTGACAGGTCAGCAGTTTATTATTCCCAGCATGCCTCTGGGGAGGAGGCGGGCAGTGGATGAGAAGCAGTTCCTCCCTGTGAGAGAGAGACAGAGCAAGATAACCACAGTGTAAGTTTGCATGCGAGAGACGGCGCTGCTGATGTCCCTGCTGTAATCGCTGGAGTAAGCTGTGTGTGTGTGTGTGTGTGTGTGTGTGTGCATGCGCTGAAGTTGGAGATCAGTTGCAGTGCATGCTGCATGAGGAAAAGAAAGACCAGGGATATGCAGAATTTGGACCTTTACAGCCGACTGGACTCTCAGGTATGACCGGGATGCTTGTTTTACTGTAGTTCAGCATCTCCTGCATGCAAAAGTTCTAGGATTTAGTAAATTAGTGGCCTTGGTTCTGTTATTGAAGCGATATTGTCGCTTCATATTGAGTTAAAACTGCTTTATTTATTGTGCATCTGCATTGTTAACAGCGTGCAGTAGTGCACTAGAGAGTTGTGTGTGTGTGTGTGTGATGCAGCAGTGTTTTCTGAATGTCATTGATCAGAGGGTTAGTGGTGTGTGGAGGAGGGGCGCTGGACGCCTCTGTCGTTACTGTAAGAAGCAGGTTAGCATTCTGCAGAGGACCTCCCATGAATCCAGCACACATCTCTGACACGTCATCCCTCGGTTTCTTTCTAGGACTAGCTTAATGGATGTGATAATTAGTTGCTTCACATTCTCAATTGTAAAGTAGACAACATTTCAATGCATTATAGGTGTGTTCTGGACGTCCTCCAAAATGTCCTAAACCTAAAAAGCGTACTGTATCATATTTGATACACAAAGGCCTCTAAATGATCAACATGATCATAACTTTGTTGATAAAAACCGTTGCACACAATCTACTACATGCCTTGATAGTTTATATTTTTTTAGCAAGTAAAAGCCTTTTAGTATAATTGTAAAATCTTCCATCTTCAGCTTGTGGTTCACGTGTCTTTATGCTGTGAAATGGTTTTTCTTTTTCTTTTTGAAATTGCTTTTATATTGTTAGTAATATTTCAAGATGAACACTTACTGGACTGAAGCAACGTACAGTAGGTTTACTTTATTTTCCATACATTATTTCTTCTAGAAAAATCACATTAAAAATGTGAGTA